AAATGTATGTTGAGGGCAACTGTGTGCAGACCATCAAAATGGGATACCACGAAGACGAGACATGTGAGTTTTAAACTGAGTATCATTGGGGGGATAAGAAATGTACACTAGTGAACCTTTAAACATCATGTGCCAAGCAATGGGGAGTAGCACGAGGATACAAAGACAAATAAGGCATGGTGCCTGTTCTCAAGGAGCTTTTGGTTTAAGGTAGAGGCAAATGTGTGATCAAATGAATGCCACTCTGTGTATTGGGAGAGATCCATACGGAAGTTCTCCGGGGGAATTTGGGGAGCCCAGAGAGCTCCTGGACGGCTTCATGGAGAAGATGGTATTGGAATGAAGTTTTGATGAATGTCCTAGAGATAGCTGGATAGAAGCGGAAGGTTGTTTGAACCAACGGGATTAAGGAGGGCAAAGGCCTAGGGGCAGCAGAGCTTATGGTGTTTGGAGGCAGCAAGTAGTTTCTATAGTTGAGCTGTAGAAAACATTTGTGTTGGGTGATAGTGGGAGGTAGATTAGAGAGTGAGGTAAGGGCTAGAGGTTAGTAGGTGGGTTTTTTGTTTTGTTTTGTTTTTTAAAGATTTTATTTGAGAGAGAGAATGAGAGAGAGAGGGAGCATGAGAGGGGGGAGGGTCAGAGGGAGAAGCAGACTCCCTGCCGAGCAGGGAGCCCGATGCGGGACTCGATCCTGGGACTCCAGGATCATGACCTGAGCCGAAGGCAGTCGCTTAACCAACTGAGCCACCCAGGCGCCCAGTAGGTGGGTTTTTGGCACCAGATAAGAGTTTGGACTTTACCCTATAGTTAACGGGCAGCCATTGAAGGTTCATGAAGAGTTTTAATACGACAGGAGAAATGGAAACCGAACACTCATGAGATTATAGAACTGTCTGATGGTCAGGAGGTAGTAAGGGCTGGGCTGTGATGCTGGTTGTAGAAAATGAAAAGGATAAGGTAAAGGGAGACAAGAGACCAAATAATTGATAGGATTTACTGCTTTATTGTAGAGCCAGCAAGTCTGTTCTGTTAAAGGGCCCGATAATAACTATTTCAGGCCTTGTGGAACACACATGTTGCAAATACTCTGTCATAGTGTGCAAGCAGCCACAGGTTCTAAACGAAGAAGTATGAATGTGTTCCAATAAAACTTTATTTGTTGATAGGAAAATTTGAACATGTATTTTTTATAAAGTGTCACAAACTATTTTGATTTTTTTCCAACCATTTAAAAATGTAAAAATACCATTCTTAGCTCTTGGGTCATACAAAAACACAGTTTGCTGACTCTTGACTTAATGGATTTGAGATATAAAACTAAAGTTTTGAGCCCGAGTCACTGAGAAAAATTACCATTGACAGATCAGGGAGGTGAGGAGAGGGAGTAGTTTGTAGAAAGAGTAAGTTCAATTTTAGAAAAGTCCTAACTAATATCCTCCCACTACCTACCCCTCACACCATAAACAAGTGGGATCAAAGAGTGATCAACCACACATGAGTGGAATCAGAACACTCAGTGCTTGAAATGCAGGTTTGGAAAGCATCAGATCCCTTTGCACGGAGGGGCTGGCTGAACTGGGAGAGGAGAAATCACTTAAGGGAGTTCTTTAAAAGAACAGCAGCAAGCCGAGGGCCGATGATCCTGGAGAAAGCTCATAGTTTGGGACAGGAGGAGGCAGTGAAGGAGACACAGGGTATGTAGATCGAAAGTAGATGCTTGGTCAGTCTGGGGATAAATTACTCTGCTCGATGGAGCATGTCTTGTGGAAGAAACAACAGCCCATTATTCTCATACTGTCCTGTTTCCTGACCCCTAATGGCTTTATTGTCTTTAAGAACCAGTGGATGGATACTTGAGCAAATTAAGTCTTATAACTTCTGAATCAACATTCTGTCTCTTGGAATATATTGCAAAGAACCTTTTACATAGCTCCGTCAGGTGACTTGTGTAAGTGTTCATTGCAGTATGATTTTTGGGGGGGGGGCCCGGAAGTAACCTAGCTGTTTGCCTGGGACATTGACTGGGAGTGTGGATAGGTAAAATGTGGATTCACATCATGGAGCATTTTAAGCAACAGTTAGAAGGAACGAAATAGATGTGTTAGAACAACATAAATTGAATGTTTTGAAAAGATCTGAAGTGGGGAAAGGGATAAAAGGCTTTTTATGTGTACAGAACAACATTCTATAAATAAGAAATGTGCACATGAAACAAAACTCAGTCTTCAAGAACACCTGCACGAAGCCACGCAGTAAGTATAGTAGAAGCATTGCCTGTTGGGGACAGAAAGGAACGGGAGTGAGATATGGAGATAAAAGAAACAACAAATACTTTTAAAAAGTAAAACAACTTAAGTAATACGATGTGGTAGGTATAGCCATAGGACGGACTACCACGCAACCATTAAAAATCATTTATGAAGGGCAGTTATAATGAAGGTTTTTGCCATGGAACTTTGAGTGAAAACACAACAGGTATATAGAGTGACCTCAGCTACTTAAGAAATACAGATGCAAGGAAAAACCTCAACATGTTAACAGTATCTCTGGGAGGTGCAGTTACTTGTGATAATTTTTTATACGATCTGTTTTCTGGACTGAATTTTTAATCATTTTTGTATAAGCGAATCCATAAAGGGCAAAGAGTTTTAGAAATATGAACTTCCAAGTGGGAGTAAACAAAGTAACGTGATGTTGAAGGGCTTGGGTGTGGGGGAGCCGTCGGTAAGGTTTTTTATCGATTGGGGGAGACCCATCAGAAATAAGCAAAGCTGGTGTCCATGCAGCTCCCCTCTCCTCTTTATCGTTCTCCAGCTCTTAGAACAAGCCCTGGTGATTGAGGAACAGCTGCGCCGGGCAGCTTACCTGAACATGTCAGAGGACCCCTCTCACCCTTCCATGGCCCTAAACACGCGCTTTGCTGAAGTGGAGTGTTTGGCGGAGAGTCACCAGCACCTGTCCAAGGAGTCAATGGCCGGAAACAAGCCTGCCAATGCGGTCCTGCACAAAGGTAGCCAGTGGCTCCCCTGCCTCCTGCTGACTCAGCCTTTTTCTGCTACCCCCCCTACCCCCCACCCAAACATATAGTTACTGCTGGTTTCCAGACCTTTTTCAGAGCCCCTCTGTCTGGGCACTTAGGATGTGCTGGGGGTCTTTGCTTTCTTCCTCGGAAAGCTAATATCTTAGAGGCAATCGAGGACAGTAGTTCTTTGCCTCTTCTAACTCAATATATTCAAGTTCTCGGAGGTGGAAAGGAAAGCAGAATAATACAGTGTTATCTGGGATATTGTGGAGTTAACTTCTGGTGAATTAAGATCCCGTCAAATTCTAGACCCCTTTCAGCATTTCTAATTAAAGTTAAAACATGATGAGGGGGGTGGAGGGTGAAATGAGGAAAAGGAGGCTGGTTCAAAGGAAGGAGAAGACAGCTCCGAAAGCCAAGATGGTGAGAAAAGGAAACAGAAATCTTCTCTCAGGGAGTGGAGAAAGTAAGAGACAGGAGGGAGCAAGGTACAGTGAGGGTTAGGGGATGTAAAAATGCATAGCATCATGGACAGTTGGAACTGCAATATGAGGAATAGGAACGAGTGTGGCCGAGGTGGGTCAGGCGACTCAGTGACTAAAACAATACTCAGCACTCCAGCACATCACTCGCTTGGTCACTGAGAATAAACGAGGGGCCGGGTTCACTGCGGTAAGAAGGATCTCAGTCTTTTTTTTTAAAAGATTTTATTTATTTATTTGAGAGAGGGAACACAAGCAGGGGGAGCGGGAGAGGGAGAAGTAGGCTTCCCGCTGAGCAGGGAGCCCGATGTGGGGCTCCATCCTAGGACCCTGGGATCATGACCCAAGCCGAAGGCAGACGCTTAACGACTGAGCCACCCAGGCTCCCCAGAAGGATCTCAGTCTTGACCACCACAGCTCACCGCCTGTTTTTTCCCTCTGTGCAGTTCTGAAACAGCTAGAAGAACTGCTGAGTGACATGAAAGCCGACGTGACCCGGCTCCCAGCCACTATTGCCCGGATTCCCCCGGTTGCTGTGAGGTTACAGATGTCAGAGCGCAACATTCTCAGCCGCCTGGCAAACCGAGCACCTGAACCTACTCCACAGCAGGTAGACCCTTTTCTTCCGGCCAGCTCTTTCAGCAGAGCCATTCTGGAACTCGTGACTTTGCTCTCTACCCCGAGTTTCATATACTGGGCAGATTGGGGCTCTTACCAGGGAGTTCCCTTGGGATTGGGTAGTTTCCCGTGGTTTGGGATTCTGACTCCCTTGGCTCTCTTTTGCTCCAGGTAGCCCAGCAGCAGTGAAGACCCGGATCGATGATACCACCTCCACCGCTGAGCAGTGACCTTCCTCACTTTCCCTTGCCCAGCTTCTCCCCTGGGGGCCTGAGAGACCCTCTCCTTCCTTCTGCCCCATCTTCCGTGTTGTAAAGGAACAGCCCCCGTGCACTGGGGAAGGGGAGGGAGCGAGGGGCAGCGGTGCCCTTCCTGCTGGAGAGACATGCAGCAGTAGCGCCGGCGCCGTCTGCAGGGAGCTGGCGGGCTGGCCTTCTTCTGGGCCCTGGCTTCTCCCCACTGTAACGCCTGTTACACACAAACTGTTGTGGGTTCCCGCCAGGCTTGAAGAAAATGATCTGAATTTCTTCCTCCTTTTGGTTTTATTTTGTTGGTTTATTTTGTGTTTTCTTTTCTCCTTTTTTGGGGTATTCAGAGTGGGCCGGGCCCCTGGGCGAGACACAGCTACCTCTGTTGGCATCTTTTTAATACCAGGAACCCAGCGGCTCCAGCCACTGAGCAGCTAGAATGAAATAAAGTGGAAAAAAAAAAAAAAAAAAGGAAAAGAACCAAAAGCATAAAAAACCACAGCAAATTTCTTGATGAAAATTGAAAATAAAAGTTTCCTTGTATTTTAGTGCTCTGGTTCAGTGTGGGTGTAGGTGCAGGTGGATGAGTGTGTATGGACGGCAGCTCTGGGAAATGTGTTACCTGAAAACGAAGGGGGTTAACTTGTGTGCCGGTATCCTACAGAAGAGCCATGTTGTGTGTGCATGTGCCTTCTGTGCTCGGGACCAAGGATGACCGCCCCCTGGAAAATGAGGGGCTCCAAAACTACACCTGGGCTCATACCCTGTACCACTGTTTAATGGCTTTGTGATCTGAGGAAGTTAACTTATCTGGGCTGTAGATTTCTCAGAAAATAAAGATATCTTCTGCATAGAGTTGAGAAGATAAAACTAGTAAAGTACTTGGAAAAGTTTTTAACAGCTACTAAGCACCGCCTTAGTGTTTATTCGAAGGAAGGCTGAAGTTTTTTAACTTGTGTGAAATTAGGACACAAGAGGTCTTCCTCCGGCCTCTAGGCCTGTGAAGCCAGGCAGAGACCTTACTTGATGGGCTGAGCAGGGGTCGGTAGGGTCGAAGAGGCGGGTTTCCTAATGAAAGGGTTGGGAGGAGGTGAATGGCATGGGATTCCATGATCTTGAGACTAGATTTAGGGTGGAGAGTGCCAGACGGAGGGCCGCGGGTCCTAGGTACCAGTTTATCCCACTGAAGTTTGCAGTGAGGCAAGAAGCCAAACGCTTTGCGGGAAGGGCGGGGAAGTTGAAAACGGTTCCGTCCTGTTTGCTCTCTCCGCCCTCGGGGAGTGAGTGAAGCGGTCCGCCGTCGAATTTCCTCCGGCACCCCCGCCGCCAGTCCCGCGCGCGTTCCCGGCGAACGTCCGTTCCGGGTTTGCGGGCGATTAGAAGGGACCGGAAGAGGCGGGGCCGCGAGGCGAGCGCGCCTCTGTGCGCCTGCGTGAAACGTTAGCTTGGAGTGTGGTGTCCGAACCTTAGCCTCGGCGTGCACGTGGAGTGCCGCGCCGCTTACCGAGGAGGTCTCTCGTGCCTGGACCCTTTTTCAGGTGAGCCGAGGCTTCGGGTGGGTGTGGAAGAAGTCGGGGAAGGTTGACTGCGTGGATGCAGACTGGGGCGTTGGGAGGGGGACGCAGTACAAATGGCGTGGGATCCAAGGGCTGGGTCGAGCGTGGAATGGAGGTTTGGTCATGCCATGAGGGGCTTTGGGGGTTGCTGAGTCGAGGTTCGAGGCGGTCCTCTTTCCCACTCTAATACGCTAAGTCTGCGGTCTCCGTTTCCCTTTCCAACACGCGCGACTCTACCCTCTCCCATTTTTCTTTTCTCCAGTGCTATGGGGCGCAAGTTGGACCCTACGAAGAAGGAGAAGCGCGGGCCAGGCCGTAAGGCCCGGAAACAGAAGGGTGCCGAGACCGAACTCGCAAGGTTCTTGCCTGCAGGTAAAGGTTAGGCGTGTCCTCCCCCTCAGTTATCCAGGTTTTGCACCATTCTTAAATCTGTATCACATGCTCCTCCGTTTTTAGTCTCTGTATTCACTCTCTTTTGGAGCGGAATTTTCTTTGAATGAGTTATTAGATTTATACATTTGAGGAGAAACCAGAGTGTATTGTATGAGTTATTAGAAAGTAAGTATGAATGGGGGCGCCTCGGTGGCTCAGTCCGTTAAGCATCCCACTTTTGATTTCACCTCAGGTCCTGTGATTGAGCCCCTGTCTCGCTCCCTGCTACGTAGGGAGTCTGCTTAAGATTCTCTCTTCCTCTACCCACCCAATCCCCACTCTGTCTCTCAAAAAAAAAAAAAAATTTAAAAAAATTTAAAAGAAAGTATGAATGAAACACTCACTGTCATCAGCACTTAGAAATTAGGGACAGTGCAGCAGAGACCCAAATATCCATGCAAAGAGAGGTGTAGTTTAACACTGAGGGAGATTATTAGAGGACCTACACAGAGTTTAAAAAGTTTTTTGTTTTCTTAAGATTTTACTTATTAGAGAGAGCAAGCGAGAGAGCACAAGCAGGAGGAGGGGCAGAGTGAGAAGCAGACTCCCCACTGCACAGGGAGCCCCATTCAGTGCTTGATCCCAGGACCCTGGGATCATGACCTGAGCTGAAGGCAGACGCTTAACTGACTGAGCCACCCAGGGGCCCAAGTTTAAAAAGATTTTAATCTGGGTTTTGGAAAATGGTTGACATTTTAGTAAGTGGAATTTGGGAAGGGAACAGACCAGTCACCATCACCTACATTGTGGAGGAGGGGGCATGGGAAGGCACAGATCTGGTTCCCATATGGTTAATAGTCTGCATGGAAGGCTGGGTGGGAGAGAAGAGTGGACAGGTAGTTTGTGTTGGGCATTAGTTAAAAGATGCAGGTTTTTGAGGTATTAGAAAGTGCTTGCTAGGCACTGGGTGCCTGGTAGTTCAGTGGGTTAAGCGTCGAACTCTTGATGTCCACTCGGGTCATGATCTCGGGGTTGTGGGATCAAGCCCTGCATGAGGCTCTGCACTCATCGGGGAGTCTGCTTTGAGGATTCTTTCTCTCCCTCTGCCCCTCCCCCTGCTTGTGTGCGCCCGCTCTCTCTCTCTCTGTCTCCCTCTAAAATGAATAAGTCTTTTAACAAAGTGTTAGGCATTATACTGAATCCTTTGGACACAGTATGTTACCTCATTTTCTTAGTGCTCTGTGAGAGACATTGTTAAGGAGATGAATGCTGAGAGGTTAAGCAACTTGGCCATGTAAGTGACAGGGCTGAGATTTAATAAGCCTTTTATTTCTTGGAGAATGTATAGAAAACCACACTTACAAAGGTAAAATCTGTGGTTGGTTACTGATTAAATTGAGAGTAAAGGAAAGCAGAAGAAAAGACAATTTTGTTACATAAATCCATTTATTATAGACTAGCAGTGTTTGCAATGGTGGAGCTTCTGCTGGTCTTTCAATTCCTTCAGTCTGCAGAAGTGGTGGTGTAGGTCCAAGCACTGCTGGCTACTGTTTTTATGCAGAATCCACAGTGCCATATCCCTGTAGCTCAGTTGTCGTCTTCTTTTTTTTTTTTTAAGATTTTTTGTATTTATTTTAGAGAGAGTGCAAGCAGGGGGAGGAGCAGAAGGAGAGGGACAGAGAGAATCCTCAAGCAGACTCCCTGCTGAGTGTGTGGAGCCCAGTGCATGACCCATGACCCCGAGATCACTACCTGATCCAAAATCAAGAGTCAGATGCCCAACCGACTGAGCCAGCCACCCAGGCGCCCCACCATAGCTCGGTCTGCATTTTGGTTTTGCCACAGAAGGAGCAAGTGTATGTGGCATGCTGGCTTATTTCAGTTTTCTTCACCATTTTCCTGAGGGTGGGTTTAGCCATGTTGCCACAAACCAGGTCCAAAGCCAGAGAGAAAAGATGAATTTTGAATATCTCTTGTTATCAAGATTGTGGTAATGCTATTTATTGAAATCAGAAGTCTGGAGGGAGGCCCAGTTTGGATTTGGTTGATGAACAACCACATAAAGATCATCTCCTTTACATCTCCCATCCAGCTCCTCATAAAACTCTGTGGAGCGAGTTACAATCTATCCCCTTTAATTAGTATATTCTTTTCCTACTTTTATTTTGTCTTCTAATGTTCTTTTTCATTTTCCCTGTGACATACTATTCTGTTTCTCTTTTTTTTTTAAATACAGCTGGTGATGAAAATTCTAAGAGGCTGTCTAGTCGTGCTCGAAAAAGGTGAGTGTCGATGTCCAGGCTTACGTAGATTAAATTGGTATTGCTCGTCTTTAGTCACATAATCACATGTGCTCATACTGATGGGAAGGGCTGTTTGGGGACCGTCCCATTTTTGTGGCAGAACCTTAGAGGTATGTTCCATTTCCTCACTCCTTATATCTTTTCAGGGCAGCCAAGAGGAAGTTGGGTTCTGCTGAAGCCCTTGAGACGCAGAAGTTCCCTGGGGCCAAACCATTGCCTGGAAAGCTACCCAAAGGTCAGTGAATATAGGAGCTGTATGCTACATGAGGAGTCCTCTGTGTGCTGGGTAGGGAAGGGCTTGCTGAGCATTCTGGAGTGAAAGAAACAGCCAGAGGACATTTTTAAGGGTAGAAAGTGCAGGCTCCATTGGTGTGTGGCTGCCATCAGTCCAGAATTCTTCAAACCCTTAGGAATCTCTGGAGGAGCTGTCCAGACCCCCAGAAAGATGGGAGCCCAGTCCTTATTTCATGCTACTCAAGGCAAGAAGCGTCCAGCACCAGCCCATAGCAGCGAGGAGGAAGGGGAGGAGGAAGACTCTGAAGAGGATGGTGTGCTGAACCAGGGAGACCTCTGGGGCTCCGAGGACAGTGATGCCGATATGATCGATGACTATGGTGCTGACTCCGACTTGGAGGACGAGGATGAAGGTGAAGAGGTGAGGTTTAGCTCTCTGGGTGTTTAGGAAGGGATCCTTGCCTTTTAGTCTTTCCAGGGCCTTGAGACTAGCCCTCAGTGATAAGGATAAGCTGAGTAGAGAAAAGGGGTTTTAGTGTTCCATCACTGTTTTCCTGTCATCTATGTTTGCTCAGTGCACACACAAGTGTAGAAAAGCTGTAGGGTAGGGCGCCTGGGTGGCTCAGTCGGTTAAGCGACTGCCTTCGGCTCAGGTCATGATCCTGGAGTCCCGGGATCGAGTCCCGCATCGGGCTCCCTGCTCGGCAGCGAGTCTGCTTCTCCCTCTGACCCTCCTCCCTCTCATGCTCTCTGTCTCTCATTGTCTCTCTCGCAAATAAATAAAGTCTTAAAAAAAAAAAAAAATTAAAAAAAAAAAAGAAAAGCTGTAGGGTAGAGCATTTTGAAATTTGAGACTGCTCAGTGCTGGTGAGGACCTGGTCAGGTGGATACTTTAGTGCCCCACTGAGGGGAATAGAAATGTGTACGCATTTTTTTAAATAAGGCATTTGGTATCTGAGAACCTTAGAGGATTTCTTCCTTTTGATCTAGTAATTCTGTTTCAGAAGAGGATGCAGAATGTGGACAGAGATTTATTTACTGAGGTGTAAGAAGTTATGTAGGGGTGCCCGGCTGGCTCAGTCGGTAGAGCATGTGACTCTTGATCTTGGGGTTGAAGTTTGAACCCCACGTTGGATATAGAGATTACTTTAAAAAAGTTAGTTATTTGTATTAGTATACAGTTAATTTATGAGTATGTTAGAAAAAATCACCTGGGTGGCTCAGTTGGTTGTGCGTCTGCCTTTGGCTCGGCTCATGATCCCAGGGTTCTGGGATCGAGTCTGCATCCGGCTCTTTGCTCAGCTGGGAGCCTGCTTCTCCCTCTGCCTGCCGCTCCCCCTGCTTGGGCACGCGTGCACTCGCTCTTTCTCTCTGACAAATAAATCAATAAATAAAATATTAAAAAAAAAAAGGAAGAAAAACTCAGGCGATACAGGGTTGTATGGGATGAAAAGGAAGTTCCCATTTGCACCCTTTCTCCCAGTCTACCCTTTTCTATACAGAGTTGCTATTATGAGATTTGCAGGCACCCTGTGGGCCAAAATGCCCAAAACTCTGGAAACAGCCAAAATAACAAATATGCTTAAGTAAATTATAGTTCCTTTATACACTAAGTTAATATTTGGCCATTGTGTCTGTGAAAATGCTGATGATCTGTGAATGAGAAAAAAGGCAGGAAACAAATTTGAAAACGCATCACAATTTTGTGAAAAATAGTATGTCTGGAAGCAATGTGCCAAATGGATGTCCAAGGACAATTTTTGTTCCCTCTGTATACATATGGGGGGGTATATTAATGTTCTGAATTTTTTTAAATTAGATTAATTAGGAGCGCCTGGGTCGCTCAGTTGGTTAAGTATCTGCCTTCCACTCAGGTCGTGATCCTAGGGTCCTGTGATCAAGCCCTGCGTTTTCCTTCTCAGCAGGGGAGTCTACTTCTCCCTCCCCCTCCCTGCTCGTGCATGCATGCTCTTTCTCTCTTTCATTCTCAAATAAATAAAATACTCATTTGAGAGAGAGTGTGCGTGTGCGCGTGAGCAGGGGGAGAGGCAGAGGGAGAGAAGCAGACTCCCCACTGAGCGCGGAGCCCGTTGGCGGGAGCTCAGTCTCACAACCCTGAGATCGTGACCTGAGCCGAAATCAAGAGTCAGCTGCTCAACGGACTGAGCCACCCAGGTGCCCCACGTTCTGAACTTTTTAATGGGAAAGGAATTACACAAAAAAGTAGAACAGTTTTGATGAAACCCTTTAATCTGTTACTTAGTTTCAACAGTGGTCAGTATTTTGCCAGTCTTACATTAGCTTCTTTAGGTTCCGTACTTTTTTCTGAGTGTTTCGTTTGCCTTTAGGAAACAATAAAATACCGAGATAGAATACTACCTGGGAGGGTGGAAGGGCAGGCTTTGCATTACTAGCCCCTTGTCTCTTTTTTCAGCTGCTGCCCATTGAGAGGGCTGCTCAGAAGCAAAAGGCCCAGGAAGCTGTGGCTGGGTAAGTTTTTGAAACTCTTAGGATGGGGACCAGGCAGCAGCTGGGATGAAGGAATTGAGGGAGGAGCCGGTATCTGTTTTCATCTGTGAATCACTGTTTCTGAACCTGTTTCTAGGGGCCAGTGGAGTGAGGAGGAGACTGAGGAGGAGGAGGAAGAGGAGAAAAGGTCGCCTGAGTCAGGCCCCCAAAAGGATGATGAGACAGATGGGGGCTTACAGATCAATGTGGATGAGGAGGAGCCCTTTGTGCTGCCCCCTGCTGGGGAGATGGAGCAGGATATCCTTCCAGTGCCTGGTGGAGGGGTAGGGGGCAGGTGCTTAGGAGAGTGGATTTTCAGGCCCTGGGACATCATGAAACAGTTCCTTAACACGTCCACATGCCCAGGCTTCAGACTTGCAACGAATTCACAAGCGCATCCAGGATATAGTGGGAGTGCTGCGTGATTTTGGGACTCAGCGGGAGGAAGGTCGGTCTCGTTCTGAGTATCTGCACCGGCTTCAGAAGGATCTGGCCACTTACTACTCCTATGGAGACTTCCTGCTTGGCAAGCTCATGGACCTCTTCCCTCTGTCTGAGGTACTGAATTGCTAATTTAATGCCACTTCTGCTTCTCTTTTCTCACTTTCTTTATTGGACGCTGTGTGAGGAAGGTGGTCAGCCTCCTTACTCTTTTGTCATCCGGCTGAGCTCCTTGGCCAGGCTGACTTGCTCCCTGCCATTTTGCTTTCCTAGCTGGTGGAGTTCTTAGAAGCTAATGAGGTGCCTCGGCCCATCACCCTCAGGACCAATACCTTGAAAACCCGGCGCCGAGACCTTGCTCAGGTGAGGGGTGGATTTTGAGATTTCTCTCAGGGATTCTAACCCCAGAGACACCCCTATCTCACTTTGACGCAGGGGATGAGGGGTAGGGTCTTAGTACCTAAGCATTTCTTGGTACAGGCATGATCCAGAGGCAAACCCAGGTAGGCCTAGTGTCATGCTGGATTTATCTGACTGGCTTGGGGCCCAGGATGACCTCTGTGAAGTGGGAAACTCATCCCTTCAGCCTCTGCTCCCTGTGACAGGGTTGAGACACTGCCTCAGGATAAAAATTCTGCCTCAGAACGAAATGGGAGTTGTCTGCCTTTTAGATCATTGAGGAGCCGGTGAAACTGTGATTCCTGCCCCCAGAAAAAGACATGATACACATGCACAAACAGTATTTTAAACTCGTCGTTTCCAAGGGTTCAGGGACCTCATGTTAAAGACTGCTTGCTGTTCTGTGGTCAGTGGTGTGGCCCTACGTGTAGTCTCTCCCCGGGTGCGAAGGTAACCTCCCTGAATCTGATCTTTCGTGTGCTATAGCCAGTGATGTTACATTTTAGGTTGGTAAGGGGTCGAGCCTATTGGAAAATCAGAGTTCAGTTCCGAGACAAAAAGGGATAGGAACTGGCAGTCTGCTCCACTGGGATAGAGTTCAGACCTTGAGTTAGAGCCTGAGGCTAAGGGAGAGGACATCAGAGAATGGTGTGGGAGAGGCTGAGGTCAAAGAGTCTGTGACGATTGTGTTTTAACTACAAGCTCTGGAAGTTGCGATGCCACGGGCCTCAGTAGAACCACGTTTTCATATTTCCATCTGTTTTCTGGGTATAGTAGCCTGCGAGGTTTTAAAATCTTTATCTTCAGGCGCTAATTAATCGTGGAGTTAACCTGGATCCCCTGGGCAAGTGGTCAAAGACTGGACTGGTGGTATATGATTCTTCTGTGCCCATTGGTAAGTGTTCCCTGCCCGATAGTCCTTTCTGCCCCTGCCGTTGTCCCAGCATGTCACAGACAGGTCCTCCTCCACAGGTGCTACCCCTGAGTACCTGGCTGGGCACTATATGCTTCAGGGAGCCTCCAGTATGCTGCCGGTCATGGCCTTGGCGCCCCAGGAGCATGAGCGGATCCTGGACATGTGTTGTGCCCCTGGAGGAAAAACTAGCTACATAGGTATGAGAAGGGCAGGCAGGAGTAGGAGCCATCTGGCTCTCTGCTTCTGGAAGTAAATGGGGTCGCTGCCTCTCTAGTGCTCCAGAAAACAGTGCACAAGCAATTCACAGAGTGGGGAGGAGGACAGGCTCTGGAGTTGGCCTGGGTTCCAGCCCCATGTACCACTAACTATCCATATGGCCTCAGACAAGCCCCGATCTTCTTATTTTAAATGGGGTAGCAACTGTGCTTGGCTTGGCGGTTATATCATACTTGGGTTGTTAGGGTTGAGATATGCTTTTAGAAGTCCTTAGCAAAGTGTTTGGCACATAACTAGTCATAACCATTTTATTAAGCTGTTATCACTTAAAAGAAGTAAGTTAGTCTGTAGGACCAAAAAGATGCTCAGTAACAACAAAACCACACCGGCAGTCGCGCTCCTCAGCGGGTGCGGGCTGGCAGACCTGTACAGTAGACAGTGGGGAGGAGGCTTATTGGGAGTGAAGTCGCCTTGCAGTGGTGAGAATTCAGCTGTGGGGTCTTGAGCGGGACGGTGGCTGGTGGGTGTGGGGGCAGAGGAGCTGGCTGGTGAGCGCTGTGCCTCTCTCCCTTCAGCCCAGCTGATGAAGAACACAGGTGTGATTCTTGCCAACGATGCCAATGCTGAGCGGCTCAAGAGTGTCGTGGGAAATCTGCACCGGTTGGGAGTCACCAATACCGTCATCAGCCACTACGATGGGCGCCAGTTTCCCAAGGTGCGGCTCCCCTCTGTGCGTGTCTCTTGTGCGTCTTCCAATTCACTTGCCCCCTTCCTGACCTCACGGTTTAGACTTGCCCCTCGGAAATATGGTACGGTTCAGATTGCCAAAAACACCTAATTAACCTTATACCCTTTTTCCCCAGGTGGTGGGGGGCTTTGACCGAGTACTTTTGGATGCTCCCTGTAGTGGCACTGGGGTCATCTCCAAAGACCCAGCTGTGAAGACTAACAAGGTGGGGAGTTGCGGGGTGGGGACCAGCTGAGAGGTCTGGCTGGGCCTTACGGAGCTGGAATGGGAGGTGGAGGAGCATTCTGAGCAGTTAATAGCTCATCTCTTCTCCTGAGGCTGTCTTTTTGAAATTTTGACACCCTTGCGTCCGTCTCTCCCTGGGACAGGATGAGAAGGACATCTTGCGCTGTGCTCACCTTCAGAAGGAGTTGCTCCTGAGTGCTATTGACTCTGTCAATGCCACGTCCAAGACAGGAGGCTACCTAGTCTACTGCACCTGTTCCATCATGGTGAGCCCTCTGTTGTGGCAGAGCTAGGAGGTTGTTTGCCCCTTAGAGCTGCCTTCAGCTCCAGCTCTGCTTTTCCTTCTCTTTTTGTCTCCCCCACGTGTCCAGGTGGAAGAGAATGAGTGGGTGGTAGACTATGCCCTGAAAAAGAGGAACGTGCGGTTGGTGCCCACAGGTCTAGACTTTGGCCAGGAGGGTTTTACTCGCTTTCGAGAAAGGCGCTTCCACCCCACCCTGCGTTCTACCCGCCGCTTCTACCCTCACACCCACAATATGGATGGTTTCTTTATTGCCAAGTTCAAGAAATTCTCTAATTCTATCCCCCAGTCCCAAACAGGTAAGCAGTCTGCTCTTTCTGCCCTTCATCACCACCTTTGCTCTTTTCTACCTTTCAGGAGGCATCTGACTGCAGGGAAGGGAGGGACTTCTGCCTCCCTTAGCCTTTGCATGCTTGGATGAGCGGCCTCTTTCATCCCAATTAGAATCGTTCCTGAGCCTGGACCCCATTTTAGTACATGTGAAAGCACTCGTACAGATGGGGACCGTTTTGCTTGATTCTGCCAAGTGGCTGCAGTCTTTAAGCACTAAATGCATTCCCAATGCAGTTGTGGTTTCTTTTCCTTCTTGGCCGAAGGCTGCCTTCCTGGTAACGGACCTCTGCTGGTCCAGCATTGTCAGCATCGGGTTGGCACAAGACTATTCGGAACCATCAGCAGTTCTCTGAGCCCATCACACTAATTGCAGATCTTTTTCTCAGCCATCTTGAGTCTGGCCTGGATCTCCGGAAGGGTGGGGTTTTCTGGAACAGGCGTGGTGGTTCTGCATGCTGGGATAGAACGCTGGGTTTAGTTGGAAGAGGGAGAGGCGAGTTTCTCTGAATACAAACTGTGACTTACTGAGTTGATTTTTTTTTTTTAAAGATTTATTTATTTAGTTAGTTATTTATTTGACATAGAGAGACACAGCGAGAGAGGGAACACAGCAGG